TCACTGATCATATTTACTTATGACATGTTGTGGTAAATCAATAAATATATTTTATATATATTAAAGAATTTAAGAAATGAATCTATACAATTAAAATTTTTTTTCAAATGTTTTATATTATTATATGAGAAAAGTGTAAAAAAATATTCCAAAAAATAGTTTTATATATCTTCATATTTAGGTTTACGAACGTCTCGTATGATAGGTTTTTACTGAATAAACTATAAATTTTTAGACATTGTATAGCGAGATAATTAAAGCTTATGAAATTTGCTATATACGATAATACCCAGCTTATTATATAATTGGCCATATACGATCAAAAATCAATATACTATATCAAAAATATGTATTTAAATATATATTGAAAATTTAAATAAATATATATTATAATGCTTAGTTGGAGTTTTAGAAAAATTTTTTAAATAAATTAATTGCATAAAGCTAACATTAAAATCTGAATGGAATATAGATATGTATAAATCTCTAAGTTCAAAGTAGGAAAAATCACTAACTAGCATTTCTTGCTAAATGTTATAACTTACATTCAGTAAAGACAATTATATATGTATACTTTGAACATAGTTTAGACAATCTACATTAAAAAAAGTGTTTTGAACAAAAGGTCATATGATCTTTCATATGATCATTTAAAACTTTCAATAAATTGCATTTGACTATATTATGTATTTAATATTACTAATTAAAATGTGTCGTATTAATTTTTTGCGATCCTTAAGAAATAAATAATTAATTTTAATTATTAAAATAATTAATTTTAATTATTTATTAAGTATTTTATTTCATTTTTAATAGATACTTGTATGATATAAGAAATGTATGTTATAATTGTTACTAACATACAATTTGTTAGTATTAAAAACAACCAAAAGCAATTATGAAAATTATATGTTATAGTATAGTTATACTATATTGAAAGTCATACTAAAAAAATTAATAAAAATATAATTTTATATTATTAATTTACTTTGTTATAAAAAATGTATTTACTTCAGATGAGTTATTATTTTTTGAAATATATTTTTCTATTGATTTATAACGTTATTATTATATTATTATAGTATATTATTCATTTCTCAAGACCGGATATATATATTTTATTTAATTTAAGTTTGTGTTAATAACGATACTATATTAGTTTAGAAGCAATAGGTTAAATCTATTTTGTATTCTTACTTTTTACTTGCAAAAATCATTTTTTTTATCGTTATTAATAATTTTTAAAAATTAATTTTTATTTTGTTTTCTTTTATTTATTATTACAATAACATTGTGTAATATTTTTGTATTTATGGAAAACATTTATTGAATAAGTTTTATTATATTTCACTAAAAATGTTACTATGTTTTATTATTAATAGTTATATTTAATAATATCTTTATTAATAATAATAAAAATAAACAAAAAACAAAAATGTTATTGATTTAATTTTAAATTTTGCGTTGATATATCCTAATTTATTTTTACATATTATTTATTTAATTAATAATTGATATATAATATATTATTTAAAATAAAAGTGAAAAATAAATAATAAAAATCATTATATTTTAATTTTATTTAAAATATTTTTTATTTAATTATTAAGACACATTAATATAATTTCTGTAATTAAATTGTACTTTATAAGAATTAAGCATATTTAATTTAAACAAATTATTTAAACAAATTAAAATTTATTTTAACAAATTAAATTTTAAATGGCTTATTAATACATATGTATTACATATTATAGCATTATAATATATCATATATATGCTATATATATATTATATTAATACATTTTATATTAAAATTCTTTATATATGGTTATATTTTAAATTTATAAAAAATATTTATTCAATAAGATTTTAATCTAAATATATTATCAATTTTATTTTATTTTTAATAAAGTAATTATATAAATAATAATTATTTGATTGTTTAAAAATATATATATTTTTTTAATCGTTCAACTTTCAGTTAAATGTTTTAATATCATTAATTCATTATTACTACAAATATATTATGTGATTTTATACTGTATTTGGAAATAACTTTTAATAACGTCTTTATTACTGTTATAAGACATGATATAGTGATATAAATATAAAATATATAAAAATAATAGAAAAATGTTTAATCAATATTTGAAATTAGAACATTCAATAATCTTTAATTCTTGATTTGATCAATTAAAATATTTGAATTAGTTGGCATTGAATATTACCTATAGATCTGGCGTCTTTGGTAATGTCAGTTAGAGTCCTACTTAATTCATATAGTATAATATAAATATAATTTTTATAAAATTAATTAATTCTTGCATTTGAAATATGTTACAATATTAGCTTTTAGATTTGATTAGTTAGATTGCATTAGTTAATGGAAATACAAGAAATATACTTTTTACTTTTTAAATTAAATTCATTAAGGATATATCAAATTACTTTGTTATAGGAATACAGGACTTATATGTTAAAAAATCGCTGTAATTGGCTTTAGAGCTCATTAAATATTAGCACACGTCATATAGTACGTAATGTAATGTATATCTTAATTAAACCTGTACTGGATTAAATATTTTTAATATAATTTAATTAATGAAAAACAAGTAAATGTGATACCTCACATACATTGTATGTAATTTGTTGGAATGTTACGTGGGGAAAATTTTGATAATAATCTTGTTTGAATGTAGTATGTAAAGCAGTCTTGATACTCGTATTATAAATTATTATATTATCATAAAAAAACTATTAGCCACTTTTATTAAATATTTAGCGTAAAGAAAGCTTAAAGAAAAAAAATATCAGTAGTCTTAATAATTATAAATTTTTACATATAATGAAAAAAATCAATTTATTATTACAAAATCAAAATATATAATTACAGTTTAGAATGTTAATTTATTGATTAATTAGTTATTAAAAATTTTTAATGCAAATTCTATTTTAAATTTATAAGTACGCACCATACGACCAAATAGACTAAGTCTATGTATAACATAGACTGAGAACATAGACTAAGAATTAAAACAGGAAAATAATATTGTTAAACGTTCTGCTATTAAGGGTTTTCATAAATTTTTTGCACACTTAGGGGTTTGTTGTATTATAGTATAAACGAAAACATAAAAACACAATCTAAGTAGTGGAACCTTTATCTACCAAGAGTTGCATATACACCAAAAATGTGTTCTAAGCTTTTGATCATAATAATATAATAATACAAGACGTCATAAATAATTTGCAATACCAAAGAGTATCAAAACTGCAATTACCATCTGCACAAAATAGATATCTCTAAGTCCAACGAATGCAAATCTGCTGTGAAAATGAAGAAGCATTTAATAGGCAAATGCCTAGATTTAGCTTAGTAGAAACAATCTAGAAAGGGATTGAAAAGAAAAGAAAAGAAAAGAAAAGAAAAGGAACTTAAAGGAGGCAATAAAGCACTTAATTGTGAAATTCTTAGCTTTAGCTTAGTTCCACTAGAAAGATTTTTATACTAAAAAGAAATGGAAATAGACTAGGAGGAGATTAAAATTCAGAAGAGACAATAAAATATTTAACCAGCAATTGCTTAACTTTAGGCTGCGCTAAGTAATTGCTCATTGGAAAACATAAGTGATTAAAAACACACTTGAAGGGAACTAAACTTGAGAAATTCGTCCACTTTCTCGTAAACATAACACAACGACTTAAATTTACAAAGAGCACAAGTAACCAATTCATGGTCACAACGTTAAATCGTCTTATAGTCTTATTTTCTCTCACAATAAATTAATCAATTAGGTACATTCCCCTTACTAGAATTTAAATACATAAAATTTATTGAAGACTTTATACAAAAAAATTATACAAAAATATTATGACTTTTGTATTGACTAAAGACACATGCCACACTTAAGTAACTTTTAAGGATTAATTTTGGTGCTTAAATTTTTAATGCTTGCTACACTTGATGAAGTCTGCAGATTGAAAATTTGTATACATGAACTTTGCTTGGTGGTGCGTGTGTAGGAAAACAAAATAAAACATATTGAGAAGTAATATTATTTTTATTTTGGTGTTCATAAATTATTGTATTGTATTGGTTTTGTCAACTTTTCAACAGCATCAAAGCATGAGTAAAATTTCAATCAATAAACTTATTAAACTACGCGAAAATAGTTATAAAATTTAATTTTAATCGTCTATTTTACACAAGTGTGACATGAGCTATTAAAATTTATTTAATATTTCTCTTAAGTTTTATATTAAAATATATATATATTGATTAAATATTAACTGTTTCCCGTTTTATTAGAATTGATTTGAAATTATGCCACTCTGTATTAATTACATCATTAATATTTTATGGCTAATCCACAACACGTTCGTTGGTTGGTTTTACATATTAAATGAGTTGAAAATATTTTGTGGTTTTAATTGAAGAGTACCTTTCGATAAGCAACAGCTGAACATTTTCACATATAATTTTTTTTTTTTTTGATTTTAAATGAACATTAGATATTGCATATATATAAATGTTGGTTATTTTATATTATAAATTTTTTTTTCACATATATTTATTTTTTTTAATTTTATATGAAATTTAAATATTGTTTATATAAAAAAGCTGATTATTTTATATTATAAGTTTCTTTCACATATAATTTCTTCTTTTTTTTATTTAGAATATATAATATTTTATATATTATAATATATTATTATAAGCATAAATATTGTTCATATAAAAATGCTAATTATTTTATATTATAAATTTTTTTCACATATAATTTCTTCCTTTTTTTTTAATTTCATATTGAACATATAATATTTTATATATTATAATATTTTATTATAAGCATAAATATTGTTTATATAAAAGTGCTGATTATTTTATATTATAAATTTTTTTCACATATAATTTTTTTTTTAATTTTAAATAAATCTTAAATATTATATTTATAAAATGTTGATTATTAAATATTATATATATTTTTTAAACTCACCTCTGTTGTCTTGTTTCTGCCATTTTTATTGTGAATACTTGTTTTTTGTGTCAATTAAAAAATTTACCACTTAAAATTCAATATTAAAAAATATTCAAAAATCCTTCCTTATAAGTATTACTCGATCAGGATATGCGCACGTCGCTTACCCGCCACAAAATTCGCAGCTAAACCGTTACCGGCCGACAGACTATGAAAACTGAAAAAACAAAATTTTCATCTAAGCACAAGAGCAGCAAATACAAAACGTAGCAGCTGCGCTGACGTTATCGGCTAACTTAACGCCATTAGTTTTGTTGTTGTCTTCATTATATATATTCTATTATTTTTCTGATAATGCTTTGGTCTTGGTCGAAATTTATTATATTGATATAAACATTTATGAGTGTAGAGAGATAATTTTAACTATAATTACTCACAAACATTTTAGAAATTATTTAATATAACATTTTGTTGTTGTTTCTCTATATACAGAATTTTAACTTTTTATCAATGACGCCAACGATAATGTAACTAATTGTGAGCAACTGAACTGAACTATTTTTGAGAGGAGAAAATATTGGAATAAAATTAAAAAAAAAAAAATAATCCCAGCGCAACAGCATTAAAACAACAGTCGGCCACATTCGTCACATTACGAAGCAATGCGCTGGCATTGACGTCAAAGTCAGCGTTGATGTTAGCGCAGCAGCCAACGTTTAATTTCCAGCCCCCAAACAAAGTAGGGAAACCTAAAACACATGTTTTGCTTGATTTAAAAATGTGTTATTTAACGGCACTTACACGTGTTTATATGTTTAAAAATATGTACAAATGTAGACAGCACAATTCTGTTTCTTTTTGTCAGATTGTTTGTTGTAATTCATGATTGTTTTAGGTGTAAATATGTTGAGGTGTATGTTGTTATTGTTGTATTGATGTTGTGTCTGGGAGCGTATGAGTTATATATATAAGCTCATTTAATATTATAGTAAAATTCAGCAATCAATTTTTTTGTTTGTTTTTATTAAAATTTGATCTCATTCAGATGAAGATCACAAATCTAATGAGTAATATTCAAATTAAAAAAAAAATCACTACGTATCGACTCGACGTTGTTTTTATTCTTAATAATATATTTTAAATAATTGAGAGTTAGTTGCCTCAACGTTTGTTGTCGGAATAAAATTGATAGTTTTGTATTTTTTTGATTGGTTTTCAATTAAGTTGTTTTTTACTGATGTTTATTATTTTAACTATGCAGACATAAACAATAATAACTATATTCATACTCAAGTTAATTTAGTGTGAAAAATGTAAAATATTTAAGAATATATAAAAAAAAATATACACAAGCTTTGGCTTTGCCATATCTTTGATACCCTAATACCATTCCCACAGAAATATTGAGAATTTATTTTTTTATTATCAAGAGTTTATCAGTTTTAAATGTTATACATATGTATATGGTATTTATATGATACCAATATAAAATCTACTCTGATCAATAAAAGTTTTGGTAATAAACGTTATAATAAATAAGGGTTCGAATAGTAATGAAGAAACAAAAACAAAAACAACAAAAATTTGATTATTTTATTAAAATTTGGCTAACCATACAACGCTGTTTGGAGTATTGTCAAGTACTCATCATCAATCATCTTATGAAATATTCGAATTTTTAATTAATAAGTGTATAAACCGTATAGAATTTGTTGGATTGTAAGTACCAGGTAGTCATAAGACGCGTCACAGTTGACAAGCAATAAAAAAACCAACAATAAATATGCTCAATAACATTTAAAGCTAATGCGATATATGCATAAATGTTTTTCAATTTCTTTTTTATTTAAAAAATAAGTAATTGTCAAAGAAAATTAATTTATTTAAAATACTGGCCAACGACTTTTATAAATTTCGTCCATCATAGAGCCCCTACATTGTACTGCTGCATCCCACTTCTGACAACAAATGTTAAGTTATCGCCTGTAATGCGTGTTCGTCCGAATCGCAGGATTTTGTACAGCGAAAGAAACTACTTGACTTAAGAATCTATACGCTTTATTTCGTCAGTAGTATTAAAATTCTAGCATTTTATTCGGAGCAGTTTTCCGAAACACCACACAACTCAAATAATTCTAACTGACTTAAAATAACAATTGACATAATCAAATTATTTCCAATCATTCCATTGTTGCCATGATTAAATTCGTAACACTTTGTCTTTTTTGGCAAACCAAACTTCCTCAAAATTGCTGTAGTGTGCTCTGCGACAGGTCTAGGGAGTACGACGGGTCTAGAAGGATATCTTATTCAAACGATTTTAAGGTGTATTTTACTGGCTTTTCTGTATGAGACGTCGCGTAACAAAATCGCTTTGCCATGTTTTTTGACATATCTCGGTTGCATAAAGTATAACATTGATTCTGCACCATTTTAAATGGGTGGGTAGTTTGTGCGACTATGCAGAGTCTTGTAGAAATGTCCTTTTCTTCTGTCTACTGTCTAGTGAAGATTATTCAAACAATTATTAACCAGTTACTTATGATTTTCCATTGAAAGAAAAGACTAGTAAACTATCACGTTGGGATACTATCACTAACAAATATTTTTTTAAAAAAATCATAAAAAATATTGAATATGTAAAATTAACTATACAATATTGTATATTAGTCACACAATATAATAAAAGTTCTGGACGTGCTTTTATCGGATAACCTCCCTTACATCGACGTTATATTATTATATTTAATTTCTTTTCCTGTATTTTAATACGAATCATATATTGTGATAAAAAATAAATTCTATCTAACCATTATCTAATGTTCATTCACGTGTAAAAATATTTTTCTCTATTTATTTATTGCAAATTATTCCGAAGCGTGACTGACAATGTATCTTGCCAGAACATTAGACTTTTAGAGATAATTCGAATAATTCTAAGCAATTGAAATGATGCAATTGTTACGAAGACAACTTTGCACTGCACTTTGAGGTTTTCCATTGCAGTCATTTTTGTTTATAACAGACTAATAAAGCAATTGATAATGAACCTTATGAAGTTTTCTAAAATATGTAATTCGTGCACTTTGTTTCAATTGCTTTTATTAAACAAATTGCAATGTAAGTTTTTTAATGTTATATTTACATTTTCTTCATCTAATATCTAATTTAGATAATATGAAATTATCTTAATTTGAATAATACAAAGAAATTAAGGTACAGTCATATAACTTTATATATCGAGAAGCAATTATTCAAATATGTGGTTATGTATTATAAATATATATTTGAGTATTGTTACAACCCATCTTGGATACCTTCTGCTCAAAAAGTACTCGGATTTTGTAAATAAAACACACAAATTTAAATTTTATTCCAAATTTATTTTATCTCCTTCAAAATATGCTCCTTCTGAAGCGATACACATATGCCAACGTTTAACCCAATCTTCCATTCACTTTTCGTAGGCCCGTATAGGTGTGGCTTTTAGTTCCTTCGGCAAATTCTCTTTTACCGATTCAATCGACTCAAAACGCTTACCACGAAGGGGCAATTTGAGTTTCGGGAACAGGAAAAAGTCGCATGGCGCCAGATCTGGCGAATATAGTGCCTGAGCGATGACAGTGGTGCCGTGTTTGGTCAAAAAATCACGTACAATAGGAATTTTTCATAGTAAAAATCGCTAAATGCACTTGTGGTAGTCTCACATTAACAGCTGCTGTAAATAAACTAATTGACAGACGGCGCTCAAATTTGTACCATATGTCACGAAAGGGTGTACCAAGATAACAAAAAATTTTTGAAAAAGGTCTATTACTTAAGGAGTAATTAACAAACAACAAAATCCGGATTTTTCGGACTTTTTGAGCAGAAGGTATGTTGTCCTTCGATAGACTGAGTAGGTCTCCCGATTTTCTTCTATCGAATATCAGCCACATTACTCAGTTTACTTAAGCTTATTGGACTTTTGTGCATCGGTATTCTTCAAGAATAATTTACAGGTTAGCATAGGTATGATAGGTAACATCGTTTATATTTATATTCAGTAGAAGATTATTAACTCTTCTGATTAAATCGTTAGCTTTACAGTTTCCTTAAACGTCATTGTGTTTTGAAATCTATATTAGGCGGACCCTGAAAGTGGTGCTAACTTCATTTAAAGCTGCCATTTTATTTATTTTCGTCCCGTGAAGTGATTGAGTAATTTAATAAATATACAATTTGTTAATAAAAATTATGAGGTTATAATTTGGGAACTGGAAACAATTTAATTATCATTAATTGTTTAAACTTAATGGGATGACTGCGTTTCTTTTTTTGTTGTGAGTAAACTACAAAAGCCTAGAAAATTGTTCTACAGATGTAGAGAAGGTGAGGACTTTTATACGAATTTTGTTGTACTTTTACAAACCTTCATTCTTATTAGAATTGTTTATCATAAAGACTTATTAAGAACTCACAGATTTCTATTCATTAAAGATTGTAATACAGGTAAAAGCTAATTAAATTTAATTTTAAATTATTTATTAAATAAAACTAGTACTAATATATATGTTATAATTGTATGTAAGTAAATATTTATTGGAGATATGTTGTTAGTATTAATATTTATATGTTTATATATGGTATATATATATATATATATAACCCAGAAAAAAGTGTCTCTTCATTTGATTAAATATATTTGAGTGATCTTCAGATCTACATTAATGTTATTAAGATCACATTTTCCGATTTTGAAATAAAATTTAGTTTATAATGTAACTATTATTTATCTTAGGATGACAACATAATATGGTTAGATTTAATAATCGTATATTCTGAACTCAATGTTCAAAGTGTAAACTCTGATTTAATAATATTATTTTCTTTTAATCATTTAAATACATGAATACAAAAGTTTTAATAATTATTTGTATTTGTTTACTATTATTTTTTAAACCAATTGACAACTAAGCAAAAATCCTTATCAGTAGACAGAAACTATGATAAGTTTATAGCCATTATTCAGCAAAATTTAAAGCTTAAAGTTCACAACTCTTTAACAATATTGCATAAAAAGTACCAATTAGTATGAAATATTTAATTAAAATCTGAAATAAAATTATTTCATACTCTATTTACTACTACAATGTTCTAATTAAGGTTCATCTCCTTTGGCTACAACATATTTCATACATAATAATCGTAACTGGCTATATGTAATACTACATCGTACTGAAATTTATAATTTACATATAATTTTAAAAGAAAATAAATATATAATTAAAAAATTATTTAAATATTTAAAATATTTAAATATAATAAATATTTGATATATGCTTAATTAAAATTGATTCAAATAAGTAATGACAATAAACACCGGAAATACTGAAGCAATTGGTGCAAGTGTACCTTATTATCACGTAGACCTCTGTTTTGATGTGTCATACAATTTGTTAATCTCACGAGACTGAAACGATTAGATTAAATTTCTGTGTTGAAAGTCAGTTTAGTAGCTAATGGTGCCGTTACATTTAATATCGTTTAAGAATTGAATACCTTAATGAAATTTTACTTTTCATCTTCTTATCATCTTCTTATGCAGATAGACCCAATAAATGGATCTGAAGGGGATGAATTTAACATATATCTGATATGTTTATTGCAGAAATGTACATAAATTATAGCTATAAGTTTTTAGAGAATTAAAAAATACTATAAACATACATACCATTGAAGGTAAGAACTTATGGAGTTTTCTTAGTTTCATGACAAAACAGATTATAGCAAAAAGCTCCTTTCTTATCTCCTTTCTAGCCTATAAGTGACTATTTTTGTTTTAAAACTCTCATAAGATTGTTATTGTATGATGATATAAAGCTCACAAGTGTAGATCTCTGAAACATATCTAAAGTTGTCCTTAGCTTAGTTAATTTATTATCGAATCGATGATTCAGTGATTCAAAAGAATATTAGTAATACTCAATAAATAATCTTCTTTATTTGATACTGTAGCATTTTTTTGTGATTATATGTAGTATTACTTATAATTTTGCTTTTGGTTCTTATAATACTCGTAGTTTCTACGAACACCTTTCAAATTATTTTATGTTAAAGTAAATTATGATTATTATTTTTAATATTTTTAATTATTTAATTGTGGAATAATAAATTCATTTTTTTATGTAAATAATATCTGTGGAAATTTATTACTGAATATATTATACTTTACTTTAATTAATAATAACAACTAAATAATTGATTGATTAATTATGTTACTATATTCCGAGTTAATATGGTAATTAATGCAGTTATGGTTATTATAAAATTATATTATGTTTAGATATGTCTTCCCATATTACTTATACTTGAAGTGTTGAAAAAAATGACATCACTGCACTTTCACTGGGTAAACATTGCCCAAAGGCTTCAATTAGTAGGGGTTGTGCAGTTACAGTGCTCATAAAGTCTTGTAGCGATACCTTGAAAGCAATAATATTAAATAAACTTAATACTATGCAATTATTTATTATTTTTTAACTTACTTTTCCATCTTTATCTAAATCGAATTTTTTCAAAATTATTTCAACTAAATCTTTAACTCCTTCATCAGGATCTTCATCTTGCGGTTGTTTTATAAGACAATTCCGCAATAAGGTGAACATTTCGTCCTTGGTTATATATCCATCAGCATTTAAATCATAAACTCGAAAGCAAAATGCGGCACGTTCTGCAATAGTCCCACGTAGAAATGTTGAGAGCCCCACAAGCCAACCTTCCAAACGTAAAGGTAAGCCTTCATGTGCTTTATCCCAACTGCAAAATATACGTTCCATAAGTAATTCTTCAGTGACAATATCAAAAGTGCTATGCAAAAGTTCTCGAAACACGATGCGATCAATGCCCTGTAAAAAATATATTAATTACGATTAAGTATATTAATTAAATAAAATGATTAATATAATTTAATAAACGAATCTTTAATATTTATATTTAATATTAATCTTTCACAAAAGTATCAAATTAAATAATGCAGTATTTAATTATATATTAACTGTAATACATCTGACAGGGGAAATAATTTTTAAATTTTGAATAGAGGTCTTTCAACTTTTTGTTAATAGATGATTCAAAGATGATATTTTAACTAATAAATAAAACGTTGACATTTAGTTCACTTTCATATAGGTGTAAAATTAGATAATATTGTGAATAATTGTTAATTAACATTAATAAAATTAATCTCTTAATAGACTTAGAATTATACTAATTTGAGTTTATTCAGAAACCAAATGGAGAAAATCTGACTATAAAAATTAGATTAAAATTTAAACTTTATTCTAGTTTATAATACTAAATTCATTAAATCTAGAATAGAAAAATTTATCTGAGAAAGTTGAAACGGAAAATACTATCTGAAAAACACAATGAGACCTCGTTATCTGATAAAATCTGCGCCTTATGCTAATCTATTAAATAGAAAAATTTTCATAGCCATGTCAGTCTATAAGTCCTACTCGCTAGACATGTTTTACTAATTATTTTAATTATTTTCCGAGTTGTTTTCACATATCCATTTGATGAGTTTGGTTTTTTTTGACCTATTAGTATATATAACTAATTATTAATTGAATTATATTGATCTCGGTTTATTTCGAACCTATAATACGTAAATTTGTTTGAATAAAAAACATTATTATTATAAAATATAGATTTTTTGTGTTTTATGTTTTCACAGTAATGTAGAATACTATATCACTAAGAAAAAAAATATCTCAAAAATGAGAATATTGGGTTACTGAATAGACTCAACGAAGGATATTTGTGATCTCCTACGATCTATAGTTTATACTAACAAGAAATAGACGTATCATTCCATTTTTGCATTTTATAAATTGATACTTTGGACTATTTCATAAGAGTTTTGAAACCAGTTAAATACAATTATTTTTATATCTAAACATTTAATCATATATGAACAAGCATACGTCCCTTTTTCAAACTAATAGCTTCTAAATATAAGTACTTCTTATGGTTACTCAAAAAGCTAATTTTAACCTTTTACGCTAATGAGACTTGCAATTAATAAATGCAATTAATGAGAGTTTGTGCATAGAGACTTACCTCTATTGTCGAATGTGGTTTCGCTATAGAAGCTGTAGATGAACCAGCTGCTAAAGTTTTTGCTGCATATTGACAATTTGATACCAGTTTACGATATATACGACATAATGCATCCACTTCATCTCTAAAAAATAAAATTATTAAAATCAGAAATATGATATCATTAATTTGTTAATAATGAGTGCTTTATGTTTCACCTCAGTATTAAATGTATTATCTAGTATTGTCACCTCAGTATTATCTGAACTATGGCGTATCCGTTTAGGAAAATAGATTCCCTTGACAATATAACCGACAAGTACATAGTTTATATAATGTATGAATAGGTGGTAAGTCTAATTAGATTATTATAAAACAATATCAATACAATAAATTAAACAACACAAACATGTAAATCTACAGTGGTATCTCAGAGTCTCTTGACTAAATAAGAAATACAAAAGGATCATAAAATTTTATTAGTCAAGAAAGAATCCTTCGTATTTACCAACATTTTTTTGAAATGTTTTACGTGAGATCTATCACATGTTTCATATATTATAAACATTTCACATTTATAATTGTAAAAATTTGACAGGCACGACTTCTAAGCCTGGCTCATGCAGTCCAAACAAATTATATACGGACTATAAACTAATTAAGCAATTGGAATATTTTCTAAGACCACGGATGATGAGTACTTGTATGGACAGCCAAATTTCAATAAATTAACTAAATTTTTGTGTTTGTCTTTTCATTCTTTGCTATTCGAAACCCTCAAAATTTTTAAAAATATAAATATAGAAGTTTTCAATTTTTTTTCTTCATTTCTTTTAACGAACATATTGTTTTTTAATCTATAATTAATACTTCACCATTTGCACTTACTTTGTAAATTTCGTTTTCTTACGTAGACTTTCCAGTAATTTTGGATTAATTTTACCACTCAACTCATCCATTTTTTGTTTCCGCGAACGACGTTTCGACTGCGATGTTGTATCAAAACTTTTTGACTGATTACTAGAATTACGTTTACCGCTTGCCAAAAAAATTGTAACTGTTTTTAGAATAGTTTTGTTCATATGCAACGTTGACTTAGGCTTAGTTGAGGTGGAGGCAGTCGTTGCACCAGCAACCGGAGCAATGTTACCAGTACCAGGCATGTTTGTTGTACTTCCCACTAGGTTCCTTTATTCAGTTTTATATTTTTTTGTTGTTTAGCTTTATTTTACACTACAGACGCCCTTAAGTGTTAACACACCTGGAAATATATTTGTTGCCATTATAAAAATATAAATAAGCAGGAAATCGTAAATGTGTGCATATCATGCAATTTTGTATTTATACAAATTTCATATCTTAATGTGAACTGGGAAGCACTTCCTTTATTTATGCTTATGTTTAGGATTAACTGCCAAATGCCTACCTGCCTAATATTACATATGCGGCCAATGTGCATATACAAACTCCTTATATTTGTAATATGTGCATTATTATATGTTATTAATTTCATTCAAAACTTCTGATTTATTTTTAATTCTTTTTCTTACTTTTTGAACAGCTATTAATCACATATTTTTATTTAAACAAGTATTTCTAAACCATAAAATCCATTACATGCGTGTGAGGATTATTGCCTTATTCTCACACACCTTTATTGCTTTTAGTATATTAGAAATACTAGATATAAATGGTTTTTATATATGCTTTTATTGTGTTCAAAGTCTGCTCCTAAAAATGTCAATAACGTGTAAGTTCAATTGCTTTTGGGGTGCAATAGTCTCGTACTCGGTACGATTTAAAACATCTTAAAACATGATTTTGTAAATTTACTGCTTATATTTTATAATATTAAAGGTTATTTACACATCTTTTAAACAAATTCCGAGCAGTTTAATTGTTTATGTTTACACGTGCAAGCAAAGTCAGAAGGTTACTCATACGCACTGGTGTACATGTATTGTAGACTGATCCGATTTAAACCATTGTTAAAAAAATGAAATTTGATGCTAAAGTGAGAAACTAAATAAAAAAAATATATGTATTTCTACTTTACTATTTAATAATATATCGTATATTATCGTATAACATTATATTATATCTTAGAAATAAATAAATACTGTACATAAAATTTCAACCAAAACAATGTTGTAAACAGATGCACATATATACTAGAATATAAAATGTAGAGTAAGAAATATACTATAGAATTATTATTATATTAATAATTAATGATATTACTAATATATTATTATTAATATATAGAATTAATATATATCCAAAGCTCTCTCATATCGCGGTTCAATCATTTAAATTTATTTTTATTATATTTATATTAAAGTTAATATTATTATTATTATTTATTACTGATTCAAAAAATTCATACAGTACTTACAAAAATTATAGATTATTTACTTAAAATCTCAATTGACAATAACATATTTGTTGTGTGTCATTTATATTAAAGTTAATATAAATTATATTAAATAATTTTTAAATAATTTTTAATACTTTCAAATAACTTATTATTAATTCAAAATTGACAACAACATATATGTTGTGTGTTATTTATATTTAAATTAATATAAAATATATTAAATAATTTTTAAATAATTTTTAATAATTTTAAATAATTTATTATTAATTCAAAATTGGCAACAACATATTTGTTGTGTGTCATTTATATTAAAATTAATATAAAATATATTAAATAATTTTTAAATAATTTTTAATAATTTTAAATAATTTATTATTAATTCAAAATTGACAACAATATATTTGTTGTGTGTCATTTATATTAAAATTAATATAAAATATATTATATAATTTTTAATAATTTTAAATAATTTATTATTAATTCAAAATTGACAACAACATATTTGTTGTGTGTCATTTATATTAGTTTATATAAATAATATAAATAATAAAAATAAGTTAATACAAATTATATTAAATAAATTTTAAATAATTTTTTTACTATTTTAAGTAATAAACTTAAACTTTCATTCATATTTTTTAATATTATAATATTAATAGTATATTCTAAAATAATTAAAACCGGCTTAATTAAAAAGATTAATGATTACAAAAAAATTTTTTTTGTTTAGTTAGATGTAATATACAGTAAGAAATTAATAAGTAATAATACATAATGAGAAACTGTTAAATACAGTGCTCGCTCAAAAACATGAAATACTTTTAAGCTTAATTTCTGTTCACCTTTGAAAACTTTATTTATTTTTTAGAATTTATTTCACTTTTTAGAGAAGCAGTTTAATCTCAGAGTATTTTGTAATTAAAATACAAATACTTTTGTAATTAAAGCATTGGCGATTGAAATTCACTTGTCATTAGAATAATTAATAAATATTTTCATATTGAATAAATTTTAAAAATAGAATTATTGCAGTTTTATAATGTCACTGAACTGGAAACCATATTCACTTTTTATCTAAGAATTAGTTTATTTTAGTTTTATTAACAAAAGTTTATCGGTTCTATTTGTTGAGAATATTATGTTCTGTATTAGAGTTTTATATATATATTTATGTATTTATATGTATTATAGTTTTGGGATTATTATGTAAATATTTACAATATTAGCTTTATAATTTATTTATTACAATATATTTACCAAGCTTTTATTAAATTTATTTTACTTTAATTACTTTATTTTATTACTTTAATTTTTAAATAAATTAATATGATTAAAAAAAAATTGGATTTATAAATTGATATATTGAACTCTTTAAAAAACATGAAGAATTAGTAGCTTTTATATACTTGGAATATAAATTTTTTATATTATAAGCTTCAAAAATTATTTTCTTTTGGTACTTAACTATTTAATTTTTCAATACGATGCTTTTATCTGTTACAATATTATTTTAGGGTCAAAATTATAATACTTATAGATCTTTTCATATTTTTTTATATTTAAATGTTTTGAATCACTGTGAAAAAAGATGATATATTACCTTACACAATAATTTTGAACGTTTTTATGGAGCTCCAAACATATATTTCAACACAAATATCGTATATATAAATAGAAATCAGCAATTATTATTTTTAGATTATTAACAATATATAGTAGAATCTAATTAATAAAGGAAATATTTTTAAAAATATTATTTTATGAACTTTAAGCACCTCAACAAAGAAAAAGTAAACCTCGAACTAATCTAGAAATTCAATAACAGAAATGCAAGTTCCCATGGTTCTCTCTGAATATTTAGAAAATATTTACTTATATATTTAGTTAAATGTTTAAGGAATTGTGTTGACATTTTTCAAGTATGGTAATATGTTATACATTTGCAATCTTAAGAATATTGACAGAAAATATGTGTTGCCCATAACCTCCGATGGCACGTCGAAATTATTGATCAAATAACTCATACGTGTGCCCAAATACTCATACTTAGTAACGAGACAGTTGAATACACATAGAAGGTAAATAAATGTAGTTGGAAAGGATATACAAACAATGTCAAACCATGTTTAGTTTCCTTTATATATAAGTCAATAATATAAGATAAAAGCCAAATACATTTTCTAAAAATTATAAAATAAAAAAAATGAAAGAGTGAAATAAAATTATATGTTATTTTTACAATATTTTTTAGAGTTTAAGTACTCTTTTTATAAGTATTTAGCGATCCTAAAGTGAATATTTTAATAATTTTATAAATATTGTAGTCATTATATAGTGCCGAAAGATTAGTCATGTACTTAAGAGTAAACAATTTAGTCTTCCAGCATTATTTCATCAAGTTATTACTATTTTCAACAGTCGTACAATCAATCCTTATTTTCATATCTAATTTTTTAAATAAATTATTATATACAATACACATAATAATTAAAAAAAAAAGTACACTATCTAAAATTATAACTTCAAGTTTGGATTTCAGAGCACTCAACGTAAGACAAACTCAGTTTCTAATATTTGGACGTTCTAATCTCTTAGAATTTAAATGCGTGAGCGTTTACTGTACCTAAATATATGCGTTAAATTCAATTCAATATAAATCCAAGTGCATTTAACTTGATTCATTTGCAAACATTTTTATAATAAACAAATTTATATTGAACCATTGGCCTGAGCGTTTATGACTAAACTACTTACTGTTGTGATAACCTAACTTAACCTATAGCAATTTAACCTTTATTTCAAACATTTGAGAGATACTCGTATTTTGAGAATATTGTTGAATTTGTGGGTATAATAATGGGCAGAATATACACTATTTTTAATTATTAATAAATAAAAAAAATTATTAAATTTTATCTTTAATTTATTGTTTTTATTATATGAATTTGTCAGATTTTTTGAACAGTGAAATTAAAATTCGCTCTAAGTTTTCATCTTTGAATACCAATTTATATAATTGGATAAAAAAATTAATTACTTAATTCTTAATTAAAGCTTAAATTTAAAAAATCAACTTAAAGAAACTACGCTAGAAACGACAATTTTTAATATATTGATATTTGTTATGAATAATAAAAACACAAAAAAGAACTTGTCTACCAATTGTGTATTGTGCTAATAGGAATAAAATAAATAAAGAATAATACTTGTAATTTATAAAAAAAATAATAATTGTAATTGCAGTCCTGGGTAGACCAGTGCTTTCTCAACCATAGGTTGTGGTTTCATAACAGTTTGGATTTTTCGTATTTGGATTGTTAACCCTATGCTCAACCCCCTTTTATGATGGCAAGTCATTAAGATATCCTTTTGTTTTTATCGGTAATCTACTTTTGAGATTGCGATTGCTGCCATTGATCTCCTGTAAAGATTCTTTTGCCACCGTCTCTAAAACATAGTAACCTAATTTGTTCCCATGTAAGCCTATTGACCTCAACTTCAAAATATGTTGAAGTACCTCATGTACCCTTTCCACTTTATTTCTTTGAATACGGTATAGTTCACCCTTTGACGCATTGCCTAGGTCGCGCCACGTGAAGGATGAAACTAGGAATTTGCATCTATAACCTTATATATAATATATATTAACTCTTGGCAGACATCTAAGCAGACATTTTAATAAAAAATGCGATTACCTTCAGTCATTTCTGAGAGGATATAATGATTTCATCCTAAAGCATCAATTGATATTGTTAATATGTGTGTTATATATATTTTAGTCTCATCGTGGTATAATATAATAACTAAAACCCGCA